ATATCTATACCTAAAGCGGTAGACCCCTAAAACTAATAGTTTTTGTAATATTTCAATTTGATTAAACAAAAAATGTTAAATTTCAGTGTCGTAAAAAATTGTCAGTCATGCTATTGTTTCTGAAATTGGAGTTCTAAAATTTTTTAGTATAGTTTTATAGGGACGAAGAAAAAGATATAGATAAAGCCATTTGTGTTACATGCTACAGTGTGTTCAACATATATTTATGAATTTCGACTATTTAAAAGTAAATAATCTCAAATTTTTTAAATGGAACACCGTATGTATTATCATCTTTTTTAATTGAATTTACAAATTATGCATCACTGACACTTTTTACCGTACCGAAATCTAAAATTTCTTTAAACAAATTGAATTATTACAAACTCTATTATTTTAGATATATAGGTAATATGATATGCAAAAAAAAATTACCGAATTGTACGTAGAATCTAATAATAAAATAAAAAATAGGGTACTCCCATTAAAACATACCTATATCCGTAATACTTTTTGAAGTACCCTGTATACACTAAAGTAATTTTTTAAAATGTGCTTTTTAACCTTTCCTATAACATTTCTACTCGCATTTCTATTTAACATTTTGTTCTAAAAACTAATTTTAGGTCTCGAAACAAATGAGGGTAAAAGGGAAAAAATCGACGATGAATGAAATACGGTAAACCAAATATCATGTTAAAGATACAAAAATTTATTACTTATGCGTTATTATTTGCTGCAGGTTTTGCATCGGACATGTTTACACAAACCGGGCACCTTTCACTATGATCCAACTCGCTTGTCTCGAGGCAGGCTTGTGTCAAAAAATGGATAGGAAATGTCTTGCTCCCGTCTCGCACTTGTCTTGCTCTTCCCTCGCTCTTGTCTCGCTCTTGTCTTGCGCTCGTCTCGCACTCGACTCCTCAGGTCTGGACGCACCATTAGATGATCGAAGAACTATTAATGCCGAATGGTATACAACAATTTGTTTATAAACGATCTTCGATGAAATAAGTTTAAAGAAGTTTTAAGAACAAAAAACGTCGCATCATTCTCCCATCATCAAACAACTGAATATTTGAAGAAGAAAAGTATCGAATTAATGTCTGATTGTCCGTATTCATCCGATTTATCCCCTAATGACTTTTTCTTGTTTGGCACGAGTATCAGACCTATTACAATCGCCTATATTTTATCAAATAATAAAGATCTACTGACACTAAATCATAATAATGAAAATATGTAGGAAAATCTTTGCTGGAGAGATAGGCTACCTTAATAGTCTTTTGAAGAGATATGAATTCCTCACTAAATATCGAAATAATATAGTAAGTGTTTGATTTAAAATCAAGAGTAATTTGTTTTTAAAGGTAACCAATGTTCAATATTAATTTTGTCTCACCGTGTATCATTTTTTGAGCCAAGTTTTAATTTGATTTAAAGCACAATCGTTATTTTAACTACATATTGGTTTATAGCGACTAAATTCGAATTTATGTAACTTTTATTGAAATTTAAAAATTGTTGTTCATTTTAAGAAATTGTTAAATATGTCAAAAACCTTACATCTTAGTCATATACTTCTCTAATGAAACTCCTTTATTTTTCTCCTAGAATCCGAAAATCAATTAATATATAGGCCGTTCCATTACAAAAAACCAAACCAACTTTGATGTGTAACTTTTTTGGGGACACACTGTAGAACTCTCTATATTTTTAAACAATGCTCTAAATTAATCTACATACGCTCACAAAATTTCATTTCAATACACACTGTCGTTCTCCTTGGAGCCTCCGCGTCGTATGAGAGGCGCCACCCTGTATAAGCAGCGATAAAAAAATATTTCGATAGGGTGTGTTTCCATATTCTTTCCATATTCAAATTAGTCTCGTTGTTGAGTTACGAAATATAGGTAGTATGCGTATATAAGGAATCCGAGGTAATTGAACTTTTCAATCACTTCAAAACCACCAATGTCTCTTATGTTAGTAGGATTTTACTCTATATTATTATTTATAATTATATTTAAATCACCAATCATCTTACTCCGATTCAGAATTCTATTTTCGATCAACCGCCACCATTAGAGATGATTCTGTTTAACACGACAAACGTCCAGACGACGGATATCATAAATAATAAAAATCTTCATCGTTTATTCCGTCTATGTCCTGCACAGTGACAGGCCCAAAGAGTTAAGATGTTTATGGCGACTCGGCCTGAATCCCAATCGATTTTGTATAATGCTGTCCATCGGGAACGAAAGCGCATTATAAGCTTAGGCTCTTGAGGTCTGATCTGACGTATCAAGCTCTAAGTCCGTTGTAGTGCAGTGTATTTCCAGGGACTAATCCCATCGAGAAATAACGGAAATGGAAGTGTCTCCTTTAATTTGTCTTGGTATTGGTTCAGTTTAGGAAGATAATTTATTCATTTCTCTGTGATATTCTATTTTATTAATTGTTCGTTTTAATTCATTGGTGTAATATATAATTGTATTATATTTATATCATTTTTGCGTATTTTACAGGGTTTCTCGCTTATGCGAAGAGGTCCAGAGATGCCATTTTCATACGACTGTACTACTTTTTTATGCAACTAAAGATGCTATACAGTAGGGGCGGCCAACGTTTCATCAGATACGCTGACCATGCAGTAGTAATGACAGAAAATAGTAAAAATCTGCACAACCTACTTCAAAGAATATGTGTATTCTGCAAGCAATATGGGCTGAACATGAATTTGAGGAAAACGAAATTCATGATTATTACAAAAAAAATAAATACATCAATATCAATAGACAGCACGCCAATAGAAAAAGTCCATCACTACAAATACTTGAGCACAATAATAAACGAAACTGCCGAACAATTGCAAGAAATAAAGTCCAGGATTGAGTTTTTTTTAAACTAAAGAAATTTCTTTGCAGTAGAGATATAAACTTTGATTTAAGAAGAATGCGATCCGATGCTATGTGTTTTTGACCTTAACTGGTGGTGGTATTGTCGCATGTTACGGATTTCTTGGGACAATAGAGTTCCAAATATCGAGGTGTTATGCCGTATGAACAATGAAGAAGAAATATATAAAACCCTTAAAAAAAAATTAGAATATTTTGCACATGTTTTAAGAAAGTAAAAGTGAAGCTTTCAGTTAACGTCTCCTTTTTGCTGCTAGGGCTAATCTGGACGGGGTCTAATTTGTTTACGCGGAATCCGAACCGCGGTCCTCGGCCATATCATGGTCAATGGCCTACCGACTTGGCAAGTGTCGAAATCAATTCTTACTCACGAGATATACGATCTCATCCGGCCTCAAACCGGCGCACAGTGGTCTAAATGGAAAAATTACGGGGACACTCAATTTTGTTTTTGAAATAAAGGAAATAATTGTTATTTATAATGTTTGTTTTAAAATCAAAAAAACACTCATCAAAAATATTTTTTACATTTTTACCTTCCTATTTTATATACAGGGTGTTCAGTTAGTGCGATAAAGTCCAGTATCTCGTTTGCTATTAAGAATTTTAAAATAATACTATATAAAAGTTATAAGTAATAATTAATTGCTTCTTATTAAAATATTTTTAATTATACGGGGTGTGTAAGAAAAGTGCTACAGACCAAACTTCAGTTTTTTTAAATAAAACACCCTATATATTTTTTAAGATTTCAATTCCTGGTACTTTTTCCAGCATTTTGATATAGGGGTGAATGGTTTATACTATGTGTATCAAAAGTTACAGCCATTTTCATTTTTGACGCTCTATACCATTTACAGTACCTAATATTATTTTGTTTTATTGCGTCAGGATATTAACAAGATGGTATTTTGTCATTTTATTTATTGAATTTACAAGTGAATATTACAACTTAAAACAATGTTGACAATGATATTGTGTTAGTTGGGTATTTTAACTGAATGTATTTACTGGTCTACAAAATGTTATCTTTATCAAGGCTTCCTCTGGAGAAAATGGTCATCTCGTTGTTTAACCTTTTTAATTTTTTTATTTTTGCCAACTCTTCTGGACTAGAAATTGTAGCTTTTTTGATGGCAAAAGCAACATTCCTCTTTCCTTTTTTTTGTATATACAGTGATGAATTTGAGGAAAACAAAATTCGTAGCGAACTCAAGTTCAGCAGGATATATTGAGAAACCAATTCTTGTGTACGTCTTCTCTTAGTTCTAGTACTAACAGCACTAAATTCTCTTGAGTTCTTTCGCAAAGGCGTTTTTGCATGTTGCTGAAAGGTGCTTTGACAGACAGTTTCCTCTTACCCTCTACAAGTTCACCGTAAAGAAGAGATTTCGGTAGGCGGTTTTCTTGCATCCTGCATACATGGCCAGCCCATCTTAAGCGAGATTTAGTAATCATCACTTCAGCGCTTTCGCAGCTTGCTTTTTCAATGACTGATACGTTTGAGACATGGTGGTACCATTTGATTCTTAACAGTTGTCTAAGGTGTCTCTGCTGCAACTTGTTTAATGCGTTCGTGTGCCGGCGGTACGGCACCCAGGTTTCGCTTCCATATAACATGGTAGGGATTATTACTGCTCGATACACTGCAAGTTTTATTTTGTGCTCAGGTCATAATTGTAGAAAACCCTCTCTTTTAATTTCCAGAATGCTCTTGAGGCGCTGCTAATTCTGTGCTGAATTTCAGAGTCGATATTTGCCTTTTCCGAAATCAAACTACTGAGACAAATAGAGAATACGCCCCTACCTAACACCCTTTTTATATCAAAATCTTCTGTTACTCCCACGTTATGAATACGAATTTCAGCAATCTGCACAACTGACTTAGATAAACACTTTAACTCGCTTTAATCCTAGACAACGTATTTTCCCCTCCTCTCCAATTCAAATAAAACGTGTTTCCCCCATCGCAATCTCCCCCATAGAAACGACGCAACCCCTTAAGGCAATCCGTTTCCAGCGGCGAGACTAATTAATCACCCGAAATCCGGCGCAGTCTTAAATGTATCTCTAGCTCACCTTGAAGCTTCGCAGGTTGTCCACGACGCAGGCCAAGAGGGCGTCCCTGCCCACCGTGACCGTCACGTTGGGAATGGGCTCGGTGAATCGGGGCAGCATGTCTGCAACAAGGGTTAAATTATTAATTTTCGCTTTAGTATTGTCGGAACGGATAGGAGAATGGGAGAGCTTAGACAGGGATAAGAACAGGGAGTTTAAAATTTAATGTGGTAATCGATTATTATAAAGATACACACGGTGTCCCAGGCTGAGCGTGCATTAGAAGTTTCTACAGAACTACAATATCTAGATCAGAGATATTTTGCATATTATTGTTTTACAACGTTATCTATCGATAAAAAATATTTTCAATAAGGCGGTACACCAGAAATAGCGGAAGTTGACAGCAACTTTCTTATTTTAAATGGGCATCCCTGTTTTCTATTACATAATTAAATTGCCTGTAAAATTTTATGAATATTATATAATATATAATTTATGTAAATTTGTAATTACAAATTGTAAATTTTTTATTACATAATTAAATTCCCTGTATAAATTTTATGAATATTAATACTCTATTCCTTAGATTAACCGTTTTTTAAGAAAAAAATATTTGAGATATATTTTTTTTCCTGTGTGATACTGTTCTAATATAATAGGTATCTCGTCTTCGCTCGGTGTCCTGACAGTGTTTTGGCATATTTTTAATTTTATGTCTTTGTCAGCAAAAATATAAGAAATTGTTCCAAGATAGGTAAATCTAGGTTATTTTCTACACAGTAGGTGTCGGTTGTATTAAATTCCTGTTGTTCTTTTAAAAGTGTGCTACTACAGTTCCTGGATCAAACGGCAATACACAGTGGTTCCCAGATAGGTCATTACTTAGAAATTTTAATTTTAAAATGTTTGCATTAAACTGTCGCTAATACTTTTCTTATATTCCCCTGTAAACGATACATAATAAATAACAAAATCAAGTAAGCCTAGTGTAGCGCTTTTTTTTATTAGAAATGTCACATTTTTGCTACTGGTATCAAGCTGACATAAACAGTTTTCAGATAACGCCAATTAATTACTTATTTTATTAAAATTGATAAAAGCTGTTGCCTTTTCTGTAATGGACGTTCGACAAGAAGGTAAAAAGAACTGATTTTTTCTTTTTTGCACTTAATTAAACCTAAGTAATATTAGTTTATGGCAATTTATTTGAGGGCAACAAAAATAGTATCTTTACATTTTTGCTTGAGAGAAGCGATGTCGAAACCAGGGGTGCAACTTTCTTCATGTTTTAAAGCGATAGCAAAGTAATTTGTAGCTTGATGCACTATGTTCAGTAGCAACATCGATTCGTAGCGATATTCTGATTTCTCGCTTTGTGGCGAGGCGACAGTCTAGACACGTGTGCAAGAGTGTGATAGTGATACCATATTTCGCAGCATTTGAGCGACAATAGTTTTGCAATGAACATAGTATCGATCTGGTTTTGTCATCGCTTCTAAACGATCGGTTTGTAACTTGAACAAAGTTGTACCCCAGATCGGTACTATGTTCATTGCAAAACTTTTGTCGCTTAAATGCTGCGAAATATGATATCACTATCACACTCTTGCACACGTGTGCGACACGGTCTAGGCTATGTCTAGGCAGTCGCCTCGCCACAAAGCGAGAAATCAGAATATCGCTACGAATCGATGTTGCTACTGAACATAGTGCCTCGAGCTACAAATTACTTTACTATCGCTTTGAAACATGAACAAAGTTGCACCCCTGACCGTCCGTTGGTCGTTGCGACCAGAAGACTGCACGGAAATATTATTATTTTCTGCCGCTTGTTGCCGGTTTTCTTCCAAATTAATAATTTTTCAGATGAAATCCCTCAAATCCAAGGCACAATATTTTATTTTCTATAAGATATAGTGTTTTAGTGTAGTTTTTGCACACGTGCAGAAAATCCAAAGAAATAGTATACAGACTGGATCAAAGGTAAACTTAAATCTAATCCCTTTTGTTTATCAAGGGTCGATTCTAGTAAAAACTCAAAACATTTTTATATGACATACCTACTCTATTTATGGTTGGTATGATACCTGTTATTATACCTTTGTTAAAAAATAAAAAAATAATATTTTAAGTTTTTCTACAACCACATGTTTTTTTTATTAAATTAGTTTTTTTAGTTGTATTGTAGTCATATCCAAGGAGGACAACTGTACTTTAAATATTATATTTAATTTAACGTTTTTCAAACAGGGTTCATTAGACTATGTTTCTACTAGGTACATTATTTTGAAAAAAAATTAAGAAAGTAACTTAAACATTCATAAAAATAGAAGTAATTACTGTTGTAGATTCTTCGTTATATTGTAAACATTGAAATAACTGGAAGCTAAACTTTCTACCTGCTTATATTTAGAGCCACTGTCTGACGATCTTTTTTTACGATGGCCCTAATATGTTTAGGTTAGGTAGGTGCCCCCACCTACAAATAGGAGTCATATTGCCATCAAAATCAAATTTCTTATGTCAAAAATCTTTTTATCTGCAGAATATGCTGCCGAAGTTTCCGGAATACAGTTCGGACCACCCTGTAGGATAAAATATTATTATTTTCAAATGTCAGATAAGTTTGTAACTGATATTTTTGTATTTTAACAATCTTTAATCCTTTAGCGACAATATTAAAGTACTTTTGGCTTAAATTATGAGAGATAAATATTTGTTAAAGTTTTAATAAATATTTTTTTTTGAAATAATGGAAGAATATTCATATTCTTTTTAAGATTTAAAAGTTTAAAAGATTATGTAAAATAAAAAAACTTCAATCTAAACATAATTTAAAAATTTCTTTAGCTTAAAATCATGTAAACTTTTTGGTTAATAATAAATCTTCGTAAAGTAACTTTATATTTTTAAATAAATATATATTCTGTACTGATACTTTCATTCTAATTTTTAAAAATAGCTCCCTCTGAAACGGCAAAGCCTTTTTTATTCCCAAAATCCTTTGTTATAAAAGTTTTAATGGATAGCAGATAAGCTGAAGAATATTATAGAGAGATAGCTGAGGAAAGTTTTATGATCTTATTTTTAATATGTAGAGATGTAAAATTTATCATTATTTATAGTATAGGTATTATTGGACGAGGCGAATGTGAATAATGGCTATAAATTGCGAGTCGAATACTATACTTTGTCCACGACCATTATCATAATTATGAGGAGTGTTTGAATTTGTATTTTTAATGTTAATCTTACTATTAATTATTGTATTCACGTTTTAGAGGAAAATGTCACTACCTACTTAAAATTTGGCAATTTCAAACGTCAAAATTAACTAAAAGATAATAAAAACGTCAATATCATCAGTTACATCGGGAGTCGCACTCATCTCGAACTATTCTATTTTCAAATATTTGGGAAGTTTATTATTAGATGTGTTTTACGACATACCTGTATATTAGTACTTTTTTCTAGCACTTGTAGTAAAATAAATTTATTGAAAAATGATAGATCGTACCACCAGCAGCTGACTTTTTGTTGTTTTGTGTAACTAAAGTTGATAATTTTTGTTTTATTTATCGTTATATACATATGTATTTGAATTTTATTGATTACAGTTGAGGGTTGGAACCTTTGGTGTTACACAGCAAAATAAAAACACTAAATCACCACAATACACCAAAACACTTTTACTTTTACACTGGACGTGCGTTTCGCTAACCATGTTAGCATCATCAGCAGATGATTATAAACTAAAGTACAATCTACAAGGTGAGCGTTTATGAGCGTCTGTGAGCGTTTGTGAGCGTCTAACAAAGAGCACAATATTGTCAGGAGTTTGCGTAACAAGGATTGTTTCTATCTAAAAGCTGATAAGGGAAATAAGGTTGTTATATTAGATAAAAAAGACTATTACGATAAGGTTAACAACTTAATCGATAATGGCCCCTACATAAATTTGAAAAAGAATCCCTTGCCGAAGATGGTAGCAGACGTTAAAAAACTCTCTAAAAGAATGTAACACCCTTATTGATCTTTCTTTAAAAGGAAATTGCAAGTATCCAATCCTCATTACCAAATTGTATGCTTTGCCAAAAATTCATAAACCGGACAAGTCTATGCGCCCAATTGTTTCGGCTGTAGGTTCTCGGACTTATAATTTGGCAAAATGGTTATCAAGGGAGTTCGAAAATTTACCTGATCATGAACCTTCTTTCTCAGTTAAAAATAATATTGAATTCATTAACAAAATTAAAGATATAACATTGCATGAAGGTGAAATTTTGGTCTCCTTTGATGTATCTTCGTTGTTCCCAAGTGTTCCAATTCCACATACTTTAGGCTACTTAAAGGAATTACTGAACGCAAATGGTCTCGACAACAAAACTGTGAGTGAATATATTGAGCTTGCATCGTTATGTATGAAACAAAATTGTTTTCAATTTAATAACAACTTTTTTGAACAGCGAGAAGGTACAGCAATGGGTAATCCATTGTCTCCATTTTTGGCTAATTTATTCATGAGCAGGTTTGAAGTGGAGGCTAAGAATCAGTTTGAGTATTTTCCAAGAGTATGGTTTAGGTATGTGGATGATATTTTTGCTGTTTTTGATACACATTCAGACACCATAGATAATTTTTATTTCTAAGTTAAATAATCGTTTTCCTTCCATTAAATTTACGCATGAAATTGAGAACAACGACAGATTACCATTTCTAGATGTATTAGATATTAGAAATACTAATAATTGCCTGGAATCTGATATCTATAGGAAAAATACGACCACACGCAGATATATTCCTAATGAATCACATCATAGTGTTGAACATAAAATGGCTAGTTTAAATTTCTTAGTTTCCCACTTTCCAACGAAAGATATGAAATAGAAAGAGATTACATTAGGAATGTAGCTGAGTGTAATGGATATTCTCCTTCACTAGTTGATAAATTAATTAGAAAACGTAGGTATAGGTTAATGATTTCTGAAAATTCGACTTTTCAAGTGGAGAAAGATACGTCTAAATATTTTTCGATACCGTTTGATAGAGAGTTATCCCGTGGTCTAAAAGGAATTTTTAAGAATGTCAATTATAAACTTGTGTATAGTGCTAATAAT